CCAGAGCAACTTGGGAGACTTCCAGTTCCTCTTCATCGACCTGGCCATCATTTTGGTGCTGGTCTTCACCAGTGAGTAGGACAGGCTGGGGCCGCTGGGTTGGGGCTTTGTGCTGGGGGAGCCGGCGGTCTCTCCCCCCTCCCCCCAGGAGGAGCATCTGGAGCGCTGGATCCCCTCCCTGGCTGCAGAGAGATGGGGGTGGGGGGGCTCTGGGTCCTCCCCCTCCTGGCCTGGTGGCTTCCTTGAGGGGCCCGGCCAAAGGCTTTTCTCCTGGGCCCTTTGGCCCTGCGGGGGGGGGGGGCAGGTGGAGGCCCCCGAGAGGCCCCACCTCACTCTTGGCAACCTCCACTAATTTGCCATTGCAAAGGAGCTCAGCCAGTCTCTTCAGTCCCAAGACTTTGGCTGCCCCCCCCCCCCCGCCTGCCCCTCCTCTCCCTGCAGTGAGCCTGAACCCGGCGTGGAAAGAGCTCGTGGCCCAGCGGCCGCCCTCTGGCCTCATCTCGGGCGCCCTCCTCTGCTCCGTCCTGTCCCAGATCCTCATCTGCCTTGGCTTCCAGGTCCTGGGCTTCCTCTGGGTCAAGCAGCAGCCCTGGTACGAGCCCTGGAGCCCCTCCTCAGAGTAAGTGGCCAGCGCGCTTGAGGTCACCCTGCAGCCCTGGGGACCCGGCCCCCCTCTCCAGCCGGCGGCTTCAGTGGCCGCGACTTTGGGAGGGAGAGCTGCCTGCTGGGATTCAGGCAACCTGCATTCTGAGCCTTCCCCCACCAGGGGGCAGCAGGACATCATTGAAAGTTGAGCGTTTTGCTGACCCCTGCTGGCCGTCGGGACTTCTGCCTGCATGGCTAAGCTGTGGAACTTTCTAGGTCGGCAAGTGGGGGCTTGTTCCTCCCCCCCTTTTCTCAGCATTTCTCTGCTTTGAGTACTGACAAAGCACGGGAGAGGCTCCTTCCCCCCTGCCTCCAACCCCAGTTGCGGAAGAGAGGCGCCTGGTTGGGCCCCCGCAGAAACCAGGGTGCGCTGGCCTACGGCAGGCCTCCACCCGACCCAGCAGGAGCCTGGGTGCCTAGCGCTGAGGCGCTGCTCTTTGGCCAGCCGGAAACCCCCCCGTCCTCCCTCCAGAGACGCGGAGAAGGGCTGCTCCGAAGGGAGGGCCCCGGAGCCTATGAGCCACGCGCCTAAAGGGCTCCGGCCAGTGGGGCGGTGGCTTTGCCCCCCAGGAGCTGCAAAGGTGCTTACAGGTGGTCGGCAGGGGTGGCGTTAGAAGGAGGTGCGATCCAGGTGAGACCTCCTGACGGCTGCTGGTCTCGGCAGGGTTCAAGGGCAGCCAAAACCCTCCCCCCAGGTGGGCCCCCAAAATGGGCTTCTCCCCTCTCCCTCCCTTCCCTGCCAGTTTCACCCTCTTCCTCTGGCAGAGGAAGGCCCGGCCTGTGGCGGGAGGGGAGCCGGAGCAGCCTTGGCACACCTTGCTTGTTTATTCAGAGGCAGAGCATTTTGATCCATCGCAGGCTGGGGAGGGTCGGGCCGGTTGGGGGCCTAAGTGTGTTCTCCTTCCCCCCATTGTCCCTTTGGAACGAGGGTCCCTGGGGTTTGGGCAAAAAGGAGGAGTCGAATAGCGCTTTTTAGCCGATTTTATCACACGGGGTCAGAACCTGCCCAGAACTGCCCCTCCTCGTTCATCGGAAGCCCTGCAGTGGCCAGGTGGATGCAGCACCACTTAAACGGGGGGGGGGGGGGGGGCGGCCCCGCCGGGGGGGGGGGGGGACGCTTGATGCGGCTTCTCGCTCAGGGAGGCCTCAGCCGAGCCGCTCCAGCATCCGAGGAAAGGAAGCGCAGAGCCTCCCGCCGTTCTTGCTGCTAGCACCGGCTGGGGATCAATCCTGGGCTCTGGTGGGAGGCCGGTGAAGCCACCCCGCTCCCCTTCCCCTTGACGGGCAGAGGCTGGGAGGGTGAGGTGGAAGGTGGGGCGGGAGAGGGGAATTGGCCGGCTGCTTCTGAAGGGCCTTTGGGGGGGCAGAGGGGGGAGGGCTGGGTCCCTCCCCCCCCCATGAAGACCAGGCTCCCCTGCTTAGCCTGCAGAAAGCCCGCCTAAGGCCCCTTCAGGGTCTGTGGGACCGCTGAGCCCAGGCCCCCGGCCTCCCTGGGCCTGCCGGGCTGAGCTGGAGGCCTGCGGGGGGGGGGGGGGCAGAGCCAACCCTCCCTCTCACTTCCCTTCCAGCGCCTGCAACCTCTCAGCCGCGGCCAATGCTTCCCAGCCGGGCAACGTCTCCCACCACGACGAGCACAACATCCGGAACTACGAGAACACCACGCTCTTCTTCATCTCCACCTTCCAGTACCTCATCGTGGCCGTGGTCTTCTCCAAGGGCCGGCCCTTCCGCCAGCCCTGCTACAGGAACTGTACGTGGCCCCCCCGGAGGAGAGCCACTTGGCCGGGGGGGGGCTTGGGGGCCTCGCCAGAGGGGAGCGCTGGCTTGCAAAAGGCACCAGGGCTGGGGGTGGGAGCAGTCAGGGGGTCTTCTGTCCTCCTCCCTCCCTCTCTCTCTGCTGGGGAGGCAGCTGACCCCCCCCCCCTTCCCTCCCCAGACCTCTTCGTGGTCTCCGTGGTGGCCCTGTACGCCGTGGCCCTGGCTCTCCTGCTGCACCCCGTGGCAGCCATCGAATCCTTCTTGGAGGTAGGAGGGGGGGCTCTGGGGGGAGGGCTGACGGGGAACTGGGGAGGGGCTTGCTGCCCTGCCCCGGCGTGGCCCTGAGGGGGCTCTGGTTGCTCCACAGCTGGTCTGCGTGCCTCACGCCTGGCGGGTCTCGGTGCTCCTCCTGGTCCTGGCCAACGCCGCAGTGTCCCTGCTGGTGGAGGTAAGTCCGGGGAGCCGCTCTGCCTGCCTTCCGGGCCGCTTCCGCGGAGGGGAGGGGAGCGCCTGACGGCCCTGCAGGGGGGGGGGGGGGACGGGGGGGGGGGGGGGGCGCGGGGCCGGGGCGGGGGGGGGGGGGGGGGGGGGGGGGGGGGGGGCCTCAGGTGCTCCAGACACACACACACACACACACACACACACAGAGTGTTGAGAGCGGAAGGGACTCTCCGTCTGGGCCCCAGATGTGCTGGGCAGGAACGATTGCCCTCTGCATGCGCCTGTCTGCCAGCTCCCCCCCCCCTCCTCCCCCCCTCCCGCTGTCCTCCTCTGCACTGACTTAATGGCCCCGACTTTGCTCCTCCGGCCCTGGAGCCCCCTCCTGATTGTGCCTTCTCGCTTCTCCTGCTTCTTGGAACCAATCACAGAACTTTCTCCTTGACACGGTCCTTGGGAAGCTCCTCTTCAGCCGAGACAAGCCCGGGGAGGACCGCCTAGCTTCCTCTTCCTCCTCCTCCTCCTCCTCCTCTTCCTCCTCCTCCCACCACCCGTCTCAGGTTGGAACTCTGCACATCCCCCCCCTCTTCAAGCACGGAGCAGCCCCCTTCGAGGGCGGGGGTTGGGGTGGGAGGCTCAGCTGGCGGTGGAGAAGAGCTTGGGCTTCCTGGGGGGGTGCTTGGCAGGGGCCCCGTTGCCATGGGGAGAGCTGGGCGGGGGGGGTCTTGGCTTTGCTGCAGTCCCATCCCACCCACCCCCCGTCACCCAGAAGCTCTGGGGGGCCAGAGAAAGTGGCTGGCAAAGGGGGGTGGTGGTGGCGAGGGGGTTGGGCTCTCGGTCTCCTCCCCCAGCTTAGAGGGCCTGGAGGCAGGAGCCCCCCTCAGCTCCTGTGCGGGCAGGGGACGGTGCTCGGTCGGCCTGCAGCTAAGTTGGAGCCCCCTGGGGAAAGGGGGGTGGAGTGGGGGGGGGGGTTTAGGAGGCAGAGGTCCGACTGCTCAGGAAGGGCTGCCCCCCCTTTTCCCCTTGTCTGAGGGGCCAGGGGCCGCTTCCCACCCTCTGTCTCTCCCTAGGAGGGGCTGGACCGTTGCTGTGGGTGTGCCCTGCCAGGGCTGCTGCGCCTGAAGAAGAGGCCGCCCAAGGCCCGCTACGTGCACCTGGCCCAGGAGCTGCTGGTGGACCCAGAGTGGCCACCCAAGGGCCGCACCACCACGGAGGCCCCCGGCCCCTCCTGCCGGAACGGCTCCTGCCAAGGGATCAGCATGACGTAGCGGAGGGGGCCCCCCTGGCACACGCTGGGGCTGCCCACGGCCTGACCTCTCTGCTGCTGACGGGACGGACAGACAGGCTCCCCTCCCCCCCCCCCTCCGGTCGATGCCAGTCTTCCTCCCACCTGCCTCCCTCCTGAGCTGAGCACCTGGAAGGGACGGGCCTGCCTGGCACCCCTGGACACCGGCAAAGGACCCCCTTCCCATCCTCCTCTTCCTCCCACCAGAGCTCTCTGCAGGCGCAGTCGGGCCGCCTTCCGCCCTCGGGACCAGCTCTGGGCTCCTCCCCTCCGGGAGCCCCTGGCCGGCTGCAGCAGGTTGCCTTAACAGGTGGGGGCGCTTGGCACAATCCCTGCTCAGCGCAGCCGTGGCGGCTCCATCGGTGGAGCCGAAGCCTTTCACTGTGGCCGCATCGCTCGGGGCCAGCCTGCCCGAGAGGAAGACCGGAGCAGCGGCACGGAAGGGGCAGCCACTCCCGCTGGACAGTCTTTTGGAGGCCGCCCACGGCCTCCCCCAACGGCAGGTCCTGCTGAGAGGGTGGCTGTGCCGAGACGGCAACTCCTCCACAACGGTGCTACTAGTTGGGGCGCAGCCACGGCCAGGAAAGGCTGCTGGAGAAGCGGCTGCAGTCGGGCCTTGCCCCCCCCCCCCCCTGCCGCGTGCCAAGGAAGGCGGCCCACGCAGCGCTTGCTTCCCCCCTTCTGCCTTTGGGGGTCCCCAGTCCCTGAGGAACCAGCCTGCCGAGGCTCGTTCGACCCTGGAGCTGTGCCTGCCCAGCACCTCTCGCTTCAGGGAAGCGGTGGCTGCCGGAGGACGGTGGGGGGGGACCCTCTCGGGGTTTTCCGAAAAAGGGGCCGCCACGACTGCCAGCTGCACCTTCCCGCTCTCCCCGCCCCCCCCCCCTCCCCGGCCAGGCAAAGGAAAGGGGGCTGGTCAGCAGGCCTTGGGGGACCCCTGGGGAAGCGCCCGCCCAGAGCCTGCACAGGGTCTTCGGCCTAAAAGCAATATTGTGTTGAAGCCGCCCTGGGGGGGGGGGGGGGCAAGCTGGTCTCCCCTCCGGAAGGGAGGTGATGCATCTTGGATCTGTTCCAAGGACGCTTAAGATTGCGAAGTTGGGTGTTTTTAAATCATTATTTTCTTATACTTCCTTGGAGGCTTGTGAATTCAGGTGAACCCTTTGCTAACTTGGATTCAGAGCGGTTCGTAAATTATTTGAGTCAGACTTACCCCTAAAGCTGTAAGTTAGGATTGTATATATGGCCAATTAAATATTTTATTATTTATGCATATCTCTAAAGGACTTGCTTGCTCAAGGAAAGAGCAACTCTTAAATTATACTTTCTAAAATATCCAGATTTTAAAATAATATATATACACAGACACACACACCTCCATCCCTCAGGGTTATTTTTTTTATTAATGCTTTGATTTCTTCCCAAATAACTAATGACGAGACCGCTGGGTGTCACACGTGGGCAGGACACCCCCCCACCCCTCGGGAGCTGCCTGTGGCCTCAGTGCTCCTGGCAGCTGCTGACTCGGCAGCCCCCACCCACCCACCCACCCACCCACAGGGCGGCCCCCACCCCCCCTGACTCCAGAGTGAATGGGGAGGGGGCAGGAATCCTCTCCCATGTTGGGGTCTTCGTGTTCTGCTGGAAAGATGGCCGCCTCAAAGAGGCCAGGACCCCCACCCAATCCCCTCGGGCAGTGTTTTCAATTGGCCGTTTGAGAAACTGGCTCTTCTCTCCTTCATTTTTATTTATTTTTCCAGTGGAGAAGTGGTTTTCCTTCGCTGGGTGATTTTATCTACTGTAGTATAATATGGCTGCATATCAGTAGTTACGAGGTGAAGAATAATTCTTAATGCTGCAAATGATCTTATTCCCAAAAGCTTTCTTTGATTGTCACAGACTTAAAAGGGCTTCATGTCTTTAGCTTGCAAAGATTAAATTCTAAAATCAAATGTTTGTATATATGATGGAAAAGTTGATTTAAAGGCTCAGATACGATCATTTTAGGGCATAGATATGTCCAATTTTTTAAAAAAAGACTGTATAAATATGCAAACATTTGGATAAATTATGTATTCTCTGCCACCAGCACCTCAGGTCAGGCTTGGCAAGATCCCATCTTAAAATGTTTGAAAAATACTTTTATTTAACAAGTGGCTCCACATAAAAAATTATTTTGCTGGTTTTTATAATGGTACCCAGTTGTAATAAAGACATTTTATGTAATTGTAGTAAACGGCCTTGTAAAATCCCACTACTCTTGGAGCAAATCTGATGAGCGGGCCCTTCCCACGGTCCTGGGCTGCCGTGGCCAGCCACGCTGCCTTCCCACTCTGGCTGCTGCTGCTCTCTGTGGGCCAGGGCATCCCGCAGAGGAAGCAGAGGCCACAGCCCCGGCAAGGGGAGATTCTGCATTGGGGGACCGGATCGTGACACAAAGGGCCCCCTGAGTGGTGGAGTTGCCTCACAGGGTGGAAAATCCAGCCTGGGGGGGGGGGAGGAGGAGATGCAAAGATCCAGCTAAAAAAATGGGTGGGTGGGTGAGGTTTCCACGCACCGGGAAAGCCCTGCCCCCCACTTCCCTCCACTCCGGGTATCTGCAGAGACTCAGGGTGGAGGAGCCTCCAACGTGGAGCACTGGGCACTGCCTGCAAACTGGCACCTTGCAAGGACCAGGTACACCCTGGGGCTGGGCAAACAAGAGGGCAGGAGGAGCAGGAGCTGGCCAGGAGGGGGGGGGGCTTCGGGGCTTCCCTTGGCAAAGGAGATGGTGGCAGTCAGTCAGGAGGCCAGGCAGTCCCTGCTCAGTCCCCTCCCCAGAGATGGGACATCTGCTGTCCAAGAGTCACTGGGTGGTAGCCTTGAGCCACACCCCGTCCCCACCCCTTCAGAAAAGCCACTGGGGAGGACCTGAGCCCCAGCCGGATGGAGCAGGAGCTGCTTTGGAGCAAGGTCCACCCATGCAGGAAGGCCAACGGTTTCCTCTGGGTCAGACTTCCAGGTCTATTCACAGTCCCCCAATTGTTTGGTGCAAAATCTGACGTGACCCAGTTGTGATTCGGGCGGATCTTCCCGAACCTGCGTGGCTGGAAGAGCAGAGGCCGTGAGAGCTTTAAAAAGTTGTAAGGAAACTCAAGTGCTGACGATGATATTGGTTGGTAAGTGAATGTGCATTATTGACATGCAGATCTTTCCATTTGGCTGGGAAGTCAAGAAATCCGCAGCAAATGTTTGGAGAGATTAGATGAGGCAACAAGAAGAATGGATAGGAACCCAAAGTTATCTAGGATTATATAATTGCAGTATATAAAAAGTTATATAGGACAGGCTTCAAAGTTACGTTGAGCAGCAAAAAGGAACAACTGCAAGTCTATAGCTGGATGGCAGGACTCCCGGTGTTTGGGGCGGATTACGTGTCCCGGGGCTGGATGGCCTCGGTGTCATTTCTTCATTTCCTGCCTCCCGATTGGTGAGGTTACTACTTTGAGGCAGGCAGGCAGGCAGGCAGCAGGGCTATGTTCACTTCCACTTGGAGATGCCCAACGGGATGGGGGCGCCTGACTTGAGCAGTCCCAGCTGCCCCCTTCCCTGCTGCTCCCAGCTGGCAACCGGCTGAAAGGGCAGCTACGCCAGAGGCAAAAACCCGGCACAACCCATGCCGAGTCAGGAGGGCCCTTGGGCAGCCGCTCTGAAGAAGAGTCCAGCTTGGTGATGTGGACAGGCACTTCCCCGGTGGTGTCAACGGCAGAGGGGCCTTGGAATCTGGGTGGAGGAAGTGGTGACGTGGAGCTTCCAGAAGGATCCCTGCCTGGAAAGGCTCCATGTGGCTAACGGGGGCGGGATGCTCCAGACCGCAGCAGCAGCAGCAGCGCCTGCCCAGGGAAGGATCCAGTCAAGGAGGACCAAACAGCAGCAGCCCAACCACAGCAGTTTCCCTGCCAGGGAACACATGGCCCAGGATGCTGCCTCCCCAGGGGGGACGGTGCCGGCCACCATCTGTCCCGCTCCAGGGGGAGCCTGCAGGACCCCCAAAGGGAGCTGCTCCAACCCCTCTTCCCTGACAGAGAGGCCCCCTCTGAGCCTGGGGCCTCGGCACCCTCAGAGCGAGCAAAACCCTCCCTGGAGATCCAGCCCTGAGAGCCGTTGGGCGGTGTGGCACAGGATCCAGCCCTCCCCAGAGGTGGTTTCCCAGGGGGGAGGCAGGGGCTCCTGCTCACCCACAGGGCGGCCTTCCTGCTGAGGGGGGGGAGTTGCCTCCTCCGTGGCCCTGCCTGGCTTCTGGGCTCCTGCTGCTGGGCCTGGCCACGGGGAGGCTGCTGCAAACCCTGCTCCAGCAGGACCAGGGCACCAGGCGCTGGCCAGACTGGCACTGTCTGATGCAGGTCAACAGTTACCCAGCACAGCCTTCAAATAACACGGTTGGTTTTGCTGGGGTGCCATCGCACCAGCCCAGCCGATTTGGCCAATTAACTTTTCCAACCAGGAAAGGATTGCTTCCAGACTGCATCCGAAGCGCCATTTGGGGCCTGTGGGAATCTGCTTTCCTTGGAGGAAGGAGGGGAGGGGCCCTTTTTCCTTTGCCCCCCCCCCTTCCCCCCCCCCAGAAAAAGAGGATTGTTGGGGTCTCTGCTGTGGCTGGGAGTCACACGAAACTCCCCTTTCCTTCTCAGCCTCTTTAATCCTCTGCCTTTTGCTTTGTTCTCATTTAAAGGAATTTTGAACTCAGCGAGGTCTTTGGGACATCCTGTTGTTGAAGTTGTATGTCATGTTAATGCTGCTTTCATCTCTGGTTTTATGGTGTTGATTTTGACTGGCTGTGTGTGGATTTGGCCGATTACCGCAGGCTCCGTTGAGAGCTATTGGCTGCCGGTGAAGAATCAGGCTTGGAAGTCATTCCTGGGAACTGTGGGGGGCTGTCAGATTTTGAGCTAGCCTCCCCCAACTCTCCCGCTGCAGACTCTGACATGGGAACGGCTGATCCCAGGAGTTTGGTCAGGAAGCTGCCTGTGGACTCTCTGGATGATGAAACGCTGACACTGCAAGCGATCTGCAGCCTGCCCTCCGGAAGAAGCAGGGAAGGGCCTGAAGAAGGCGCCCGTGAAGACGAGGCTCCTTCGGCTGCCTCTTTGCAGGCTCCCCTTTCAAGTGTCACCTTTTCCCCTACAGGACTAGCCCCCCCCCCACCCCCCCCCCCCCCATGTGAGGCCTGGAGCATCCCAAGGGATGCTGCCTTACACGGGGGAGAGAGAAGCTCCACTTGGGGGACACTTCGACACCCCTCCTCTTCCTGTGGGGTGGCTTCTGCAGAGCAGAGCACCCAGACAGAGGGGGGCCAGCTGGGGGGGGGCATGGTTGCCTTGTTGGGCTATCCGAAGAGCACAAGGCCTCGGCTGGCTTACCTGGGTCCAGCCGGTGCCCCTGGGAAGCCCCCACTGCACCTGGCACTGAAGCCCTGAGGTCTCTGGATCCAGGAGAGAGAAAGCCGTCCTCAGGGCAGCTGCCATTGCAAGCCCCGCTTTCCTGGGCAGTTCAGATCCCATCCCTGTATTGCCTTTCTACCATGCTATCCTTGGTTGGTATTAACTTTGGATAATGGTGCATCTCCTGAGTATGTGTGAACCAAGCCCCTGCAGGATGCAAACCCAGGAAATGGCTGGTTTCACTCTCCAGGTGATGCCCATGGCTTCCTTGTCCTCCAGTGGGAATGCTGGAAAAGCCCAAAGGGTTAAAACTGCCAGGAAGGAGGGCCAGGGAAGTCTTCAAGGGCAGATTCTCCACGGCAGGAGCTGCAGCCAATGGAAGAGGAACAAAAGGTGGACAGGTTCACACTGAGGCCAGAGAGATCCTACCTTGACTAGATTCAGACTAGATGACCTCTTAAGGACCCTATGACTTTAGGAGGAACTAAGTGGGCAGTCAGGCAGACTCTCCCCACCTGGGTTGCCTGCATTCCCTCCGACTGATGGACAGAGGCACAAGTGAGTCATCTTTGCAACCTTCCTTCCTTCCTTCCTTCCTTCCTTCCTTCCTTCCTTCCTTCCTTCCTTCCTTCCTATCGGTTGTGTGAATTCAAGTCCCAGGTCGGCATTTTAAGAGACCCAGGAGGAGGGAGGAGGAGGGAGGGAGGCTGGCTCTCGGGCGGGTCTCTTTCCCCGCTCCTCCCGCTCCCTGCTCGGTTGCAGCAACCTGTGACGCTTGAGGGGAATCGCTGGTGCTTTAAATACAGGGAGGAGGAAGGCGGAGGGTTGCAGCGGAGCCAAAGCGGGGCAGCCCTCGATACGGAGCCGCCTTTCCTCGGTCTTTTCCCCGGGTAAGTGCCTCCGGTGCCTGTGCAACAACGGCGACCTCTTCCCAGAGCTGGCTGCGGGACGGGACGGGACGGGACGGGACGGTGGGTAGGGGAATTCTTCCTTTCGCCTTTCCTTTCCCTTTGAAGACCCGAACTGTTAGACTGCAAACCAGTCGCCAAACGGAGAAAGCGGTTCAAACAATAAGAGCAAAAGTGATCGGAGGCCCCCTCTCCGAGTTGATGGGCTCGGGGGTGCGCGTGGGAGGGAGAGGGATGCTAAATCCCTTCTGCGAACGAGACCCCCCCCCCCAAACCGCTCCTGAAGTGCCGAGGAGGGCGGGACTCGGAGACAAGCCCGTCCCGCACCGCGAACTGCTTCCATATGACCGAGGCGAGGCTGCGGCGTGGCCAGATTCCTTCCTCCGAGAACCGGCGGGGGGCTGATGTAGCCCAGCTGCCGCCGCAGGCAATGTTCTGGCTGGGAGGAGGCGCGCACGTCCGGAGCCTGCGGGTCGGGGAGGAAGGGGCAGCCCGGGATTCCTCCCAGAGAGATGCTCTCGAGAGCGCGGCGGGGGTGGGTGGGCGACCTGGAAACGCCCCTCCCTCGGAGCTCTCCGGGAGAGGAGGGGCATGCTGGAGATACCCTGGCCGAGAACACCAGCAGCCGCCGGGGCCTCCCGCCTCCGCCGAATTCCCCTTCCCAGGGAGTGGTTCCCAGATGGGGGCTCTCTCCCCGCGACCCGATTCCGCTCGCGCACACACACAGCGGGGGGTGGGACCCTGCCTCTTCAGAGAGCGCGCTGGCTGAGTTGGCACAACGCGCTCCCTGATCCCGGGCAGACTTCGCAACTGGGTTCGCGCAACAGGCAAGCTTGGTGACTCTTCACTTGGATTCGGGGCCTGCTGTGTGAAACGTGGTTTGGGCCGATTCGGTTTCAAGAGGTTTCTGTGCCCAGAGTGCGGGCGAATTCAGGACCCAGACCAAGAGGTTCCTGCGAATGCCGCCGAAGGACAGCGACCCTGGAGCATCGCGGGCGAAGGCGACGGAGGGCTGCGAGGGCCCAGGAGGGCTACCCCGCCTCTCCTGCCCTTTCGGGCCGGCCGGACATCGCGAGCCGAGCGTCTGCACCAACCGCCGCCCCGAGGACTGCTGCTCTTGCGGCTTGGCTCTGCACTCAGCAGCTCCCATGACCTCACCCGTCGCGAATGCGCTCCCGGCGGCGCTGCTGCTCCGATGCCTCCCCCGTCCGCTTGCCCCCTCCCCGGACTAGCGGCAATCCAAGCTCGGCCTGCTGGGGTGTAATTCGTGGTGGCCGCAAAGGCTTCGCTCAGCGTTTCCAGCGGGAGGCGATTGTAGGCTGGTGGGAGGGGACAGCCTGACGGGGAAGGCGGGCGGGCGCGCCCAGTGCCAGGGGAAGGCCTCTGAGGTGGGGGCTTCGGTCTCCGTCGCCCCCTCTCTTGTTCTGCGCTCCGGGAGGAGGCAGCCAGCGACCCTCTGGAGCCCCCGCCAGAGACCCGCAATGGTCTCTCCGCCCCATTCTTCTGCCAGAGCCACGCATCGCGTGACAAGGACCGACCCTGTCCTAGCAGAGAAGTTTCGGCCAAGCAGCCTGGAGTGACTTAAGGCGGCCACAGAGCTTGGCCGTCTCCCAGGGAGGAAAGGCGATCCCCTCCCTTGCCCAAAGCTCAGGAGCCCCTCCTCTCAGCAGAGAGCAGGATTGGTCTAGAGGATCTCGCGCGCTTCCCTGCTTCTCCTGATGAGTTTTGCATGAATTGGCCGAGCCAGGCCTGCTGGCCAGAAAGGTCTGGTCTGAATTTCCCCCAGCGAGGTGGAGCGACTGGCAGGAATTGAGCCCCCTCTGCCCCCCCTTCCTCTGCTGTGGGCAGCCCGGAATGGGAAGAAATGCTGTGGTTTGGCCAGGCCTCAGAGATCGTGGCTGCCCCCCTCCCAGCCACTTTGCCCCTGGGCCCAAAGCCCGAGACCAAAGGGGCTCTGCGTAGGGCTGGTCAACAGGAAAGTCCGTTGGGGACCAACCACAGGTAGCCCTCTGCTTACAACCGTTTGTTTAGTGACGGAAGCACTGAAAGCGAGGACTTACTACCATTTTTCACACTTACAACTGTTACAGCAACCCCACAATTTGGGCGCTTGGCATCTGGCAAGTTCGTATGTGCCAGGGTCCTGTGATCGCCACTTGCAGCCTTTCCCAGCTGTCTTCTGACGAGCACAGGAATCAAGGCTTGCTTGATGACCAAGTGACTTAAGAACTGCAGTGATTCACGTAACAACCGGGGCAAGAAAGATGGTAAAATGGGCAAAACTCAACAACTGTTTTGCTTAGCAACCCGAAATTTTGGGCTCGATTGTAGTCATAGGACTACCTGCATTCTAAATGGAGAAAGAAAGGTATCTCAGAGATCATCTAGCTCCGCCCCCTCCCTCCGCTTGGAGGGGAGGAAACTTCAACGACATCCCTGATGGATACCCATCCAGCTTCTCTTCTCTGCTGCCCCCCCCCCCCCCCGCACATGACTTTTTTCCTAGCATGGTACATAGGACTTCACGGTTGTCTTTGCTGAAATTCCTCTTGCTGATTTCTCCTTGTGGTTCCAGGTTGTCTGGTTCCGTCTGAACGTTGAATCCGTCCTCTAACTGTCCCCTCCTCTTGGCGTTGGGTGCAAATCCGGCAATCTGATTTTCTAGCAACCCCCATTTTGCTGTAAAGCGGAAGGTTTCCCTTGTTCAGTCGTATCTGACTCCAGGGGGCGCTGCTCACCTCCGTTTCTTGCCCGAGGAAGCCCCCCGTTGTCCCGGAAGACGCTTTCCGTGATCTTGTCGGCCAGCGTGATTCTATGCCGAGGCGCTCGGGACACTTTGCCTTCCCACAGAAGCGGTACCTATTTATTCGCATCTGCATGCGAGGCGGGCTGGAACTGGGCAAGTCACTCAGTCCTCGGGTCTCGAATCCGAGAGGGCCACTTTCCAGCTCGGTTCTGCTGATGGGCAGTTCCCTGGCTTTGGGTTTTGCAATCGCTGCCCACATGAGCATATTCGGGCCCCGTCTGCCCCCGACCGACCGTGGGTCTTCCAGGCCACGGATGTTCTCCTGCGGCTCCGCCTTCTCATTCTACTCCAGGGTCTTCCATAGTGAGCAGCAGAGAGGTGGGGGATATACAGACAGGAGGGGCCCTTGGAGGCCGAGAGCTCGGAAACTGGGCTAGGATGGGGGGGGGGCAGGGGCGCAGCAGAGCCACACAGGCAACCTTCCCCCTGCACTTTTGCTACCATTTAGCGGCAGTAGAATGGCATGAATAGAATAGACTTTAGAGGATAATTGGGAATGCAGAAAAAGCAATTACTACCCACCTGCCTTCCATGGAGGAGGACCTGCATCCTGCACCCTGAGTCAAAAAGAGGGCTGTGAAAATATCTACACACCCCTCACATCCCGGACATAAACTGGTTCAACTCCTTCCCTCAAAACGGCACTATAGAACACTGCACACCAGAACAACTAGACACAGGGGGAGTTTTCCCCCCCAAGCGCCATCACTCTGCTAAACAAATCATTCCCTCAACACTGTCCAACTATTTACAAAGTCTGCACTACTATTACTATTAATCTTCTCATCACTCCTTATCGCCCCTCCCCTCCCACGTGACTGTATGACTGCAACTTTGTCACTTGTACCCTTACAATTTATATTGACTGTTTCCTAGTATGATTTGATTGCTTATTGTACCCTATGACTATTATTAAGTGTTGTACCTTACGTTGACTCGACGAATGTATCTTTTCTTTTATGTACACTGAGAGCATTTGCAGCAAAGACAAATTTCTTATGTGTCCAATCACACTTGGCCAATAAAGAATTATATTCTATATTCTATTCTAGCAGCTGGGGGGGGGGGGCAGCCCGGAAATGGGGGCTGCAAGTGCGATGCCCTGACCCGCTTGGCAAGTTTGCTCAAATTCCCGCGGTTCGCTGGCCAAGACGCCCCCGCCAGATGCCCCACCACCCCGGGAAGGCTCCAGGCTGCCTCTCTGCCAGGAGGGCGTGAGAGGGGAGAGGGTATTCGCTCCGTGCGGGACAGCTCAGAGTCGCGCTCACACCGCTTTCTCTTTCTCCGCAGGTAACATGGCGCTCCGCAGAGTCCTGCTCCTGAGCTTCCTGCCGTCTGTCCTGGTGGGCGGCGGCTGCCCCCGCGGGTGCGCCTGCTCCAGGACTGCCCAGGTGGAGTGCTCGGGCGCCGAGATCACGGAGATGCCCGCGCCGTTGCCCGGCAACGCCATGAGCCTACAGGTGGTCAACACCCGCCTGGCCGTTCTGGGTCCCCTGGCCTTCGGCAACGCCTCGCAGCTGCTCGCCCTGCGGATGGAGAAGAACCTGCTGGAGCGCCTCGCTCCCCGCGCCTTCCGGCCCCTGGCGGCCCTGCGCTACCTGAGCCTGGCCAGCAACCGGCTGCAGGAGCTGCCGCCCGACGTCTTCCGGCCACTGGTCCGGCTGGAGGCGCTGCTGCTGTCGGGGAACCAGCTGCGCCGCATCCAGCCGGCTCACTTCGCCGGGTTGAGCGCGCTCAAGGAGCTCCAGCTGCACGGGAACCGTCTGCAGGCCGTGCCTCCCGGCGCCTTCGACCAGCTGCCCAACCTGGCCCGCCTCAACCTGGCCCGCAACCAGCTGGTGCGCCTGCCGCCCCGCCTCTTCACGCCGCTGGCGCGCCTGCAGGTGCTGCGCCTCTACGAGAACCAGCTGAGCGAGCTAGCGCCCCGCGCCTTCGGCGGCCTGGGCGAGCTGCAGGAACTGGCCCTCTACCAGAACCGTCTCCGCCAGCTCCCCGCAGGCCTCTTCGCCGGCCCGCGCAGACTGCAGAAGCTGCTGCTGTCCGGCAACCTCCTGGAGGCGCTGCCCGAGGGGCTCCTGCTGGGTCTGCCCGAGCTCTCGCGGCTCTCGCTCTTCGGAAACGCCCTGCGCGAGCTGCGCCCGGGCACCTTCGGCCCGATGCCGCAGCTGCGAGAGCTCCGGCTGGCTGACAACCAGCTGGCCTCGCTGCCCGGCCGCGCCCTGGCCAACCTTACCGCGCTGCAGGTCCTGATTCTAAGCAAGAACCGCCTCGGCTCGCTCGCGCCCACCGCCTTCGCCGGCCTCCGGGGCCTCGAGGAGCTCGCCCTGCACTCCAACCGGCTGGCCACGCTGGACGGGGAGCTCTTGCGCGGCCTGGCCTCGTTGAGGAACCTCTCCTTGCACAGCAACCGGCTGGCCGCCTTGCCTGCCCGCCTCTTCCAGGGCACCCCCGGCCTGTGCGCCCTTCAGCTGCAGAACAACTCGCTGGAGGAGCTTCCGGCAGGCCTCTTCGACGGGCTGCCCGAGCTGCGCGACCTCCAACTGCAGGACAACCCCTGGCGTTGCGACCCCGCCCTGCGGTCGCTCCAGCGCTGGTTGCGGGAGAACAGGGCCAGCCTGGGCGGAGAGAGCCGCCACCCCCGCTGCGCCGCGCCGCCTTGGCAGCTGGGCCGGTCCCTGCTGGAGCCGGAGGCCAGCACCTTCGGTCCCGGGACCTCCGCACTGCCCGAGGGCTGGGAAACCGTCAGGAGCCGCACGGAGGCCCCTTCCGAGAGCGAGCCGACGCCGGAGACGCTGTCGGCCGGACGCTGGCAGCCGCCGCTAGATAGCGAGCCGGGCAGCGCAGAGATCGCCAACGAGGTCCCGGAAGAGCTCCCTGAAGCGGGGCGAGGGGGAGGCGGGATTTGGGGCCTGACCCGCACCCAGACGGGGGTCGTCGTCACCTGCCTCGTGGTGGGCTCCGCCTTGATCCTGGGGATGGTGCTGGCGGTGGGCGTCTACGGCTCCAGGCGGAAGCGCCCCGTCCGGGCCAAAGCCTAGGTCCGCCATGGGGCTGGCCCGGTTCGCGCCCTTTCCTCCAGCGCTCACGCCTTCAGCCGCTCCACCCCGCCGGCCCCGGCACGGGCTCAGCAGCGGACTTGCGCGCCACAGGCTACTAGCCGACTTTTGCCCCGCGGATCTGCGCCCAGACGGACGCTGGCACTCCTTCGCCCGGCGCTTCTTTGAGGCAGGTTGCGCGCTTTCGACCCAGGGACGCCCAGGGCCGGGTTCGCAGCTAGCAAGGCCTGGCGCTGCCCGGTCCCCACCCGGGAAGTCGGGGGCAGCTCCAGGAACCTTGGAAGAGAGGCCAACCCGGGCCCGCACTTTCTTCACGCAGGCAGGCCGCAAGTCTGGGCTGTTCGAAGGGGCAGAACCCCCTGCAAGCCTTCCCGTCTCCAAAAAGGCGCTTGACTCCTGAAACGTCTATCCCAAGGCCGGCCGGGAAGCGGCTTGAGATACCCCGGGGGTGGCGCGCGCTGGCCTGGCCATTAAGCCCGAGGTGCCCCGCTGCCTTCTCAGGCGAGGATGGCGCTGCAGGCGCATCTGGCATCCCCCGGAGGAGGACCAGAGAAGACTGGTTCCCCAGGAGCGGAGGACGGAAAGGATCCCGGGCGCTGCTACGGCGAACGGGACTGGGACCGGGCGCTCGGATGCGTTGTGCCTTTCTGGGGAGCAGTGCAGACTCGGGCAGATTGGCCAGCTTCCGCCAGTGAGCCCTGAGAGGCAGAGACAGGCCGGACGCGCCTTCTCCGGCGGCCCAGCCTGGCAGCTCCGTCGGCGAAGGTAGCGCCTTCGCGGAACCTTGGTTCGCGGGGGAGGCGGGGGCAGCTCTGGGAGTGAGCAGAAAAGCCTCGTGGACGCGGCTGTGGACGAGCCCGGGCCTATTAAAGCTGCTCTTCTCGCTTCATCTCTCACACACGGACTGCTCTCCTCGGCCTGGCCCCGCGCGTTAAAAGCAGCCCCTTTCCCCAGCCCAGGTGGGGTGTGTGAGGGGGACAAAGGGGCGCAGAAGTCGTCCAAGGAAACGAGAGGAGGAAGTTGGACTGCGGGGGGAGGGGGAGGTGAACGGGATTTCAGATAGCCAGCACCCCCATTTCTCCTCTCCCCTAGGCTATCCAGCACATCATGGTTAAGGCCAGGAGAAACACTTATGCCCCCAACTGTCTCCGCTCCTCCATGGCTGCCAAGCCAGGCTGGGAGTTCAGCCTCAAAGTCAAAGTCTTGGTGGCTACGCTCCCGACCCCCCTCCCCCACCCGCCAGACCTGAATCTGAGCTGCGGCTTCACCTGGTTCACACGTCCTGCAACGAGAGAGAGAGAGAGAGAGAGAGAGAGAGGGAGGGAGGGAGAGAGAGAGAGGGAGAGAGAGTCAGAGTCAGAGTCAGAGTCAGAGTCAGAGTCAGAGTCTGCGTATCTGTGTTCCTGTGTTGCCAGAGGCAGAAGGGGCTCTTTCCTCTGTAAAGCAGAAGCAGCGGAGGGAGCGATTCACGGACTGGGATGAGCACCAGAACAGCTTACAGACCCCAGGAGATAAAGGGGAGTGTTGAAAGGGGAGGAGGCAGGGCCAGTTACTTCTAAGCTGCTTTAGGTGCCCCCCTGCAGCATCGCCCTTCCCCACTTCCCATTCTCCTTTCCGGCCCTGAGTTGTGTTTGGCCAGGTAAGAGAAGAGGCGCTTCCGACTTCTGAAGCAGAAAGACCACCCCACCCCAAGGCTGCTAGGATGCCTGGCCGCCACCAGGCCCCTGTGGGTCAGGGGAAGGCAGCCAGGGGGTTGCAACCCAGGCGTGCGTGCGTGTGTGTAGAGGATGTCACAGGTGGGGTGAAAGTGGCCAAAGAGCACTCTTCCTCATCCTCCTCCCTTTCATAAGAAGGAGGGATCCTTGCTTGCTGTTTATAGAATTGGACAGGCACAATGGCATTCACACACCGCTTTTAACCTGACTCCACTTCCTTGAAAAAAAATCATGGAAACAAATGCAGGATGTGCAAAGCTACAGGATGAATCCTCTGTGCCAGGCTCACCTATCAGGGCCGCTGCCTGTTCTTGCCCCAACCCTATGGATCCGTATGAACACAGCCAGCGAGCCTCCTCCCCCCCCCCGAAGAACCAGGCCAGGCAGGAGCCCGGAAGTGGGTAGCCCCGCTTTGTGGGCTCCTGATGAATCTGGGGCCTTCTCTCCAGTGAGGGCTGCCCAAAGGCCACGCAGCTGCCCCCAAGGTGCTCAGGTGTGATTGGAGGCCAGCGCCTCTCCCCCTCCCTCCCCCAAGGGGAGGGTCTCTGCTGCTGCAGCTGTTGGCTGAGAGGCCAGTGCCCGCCCTGCTCCCCTCCCAAGGTGGGCAGCCTTTGCCCTGATCTCTGGAAGCAAAGTCCTGCAGCCGCCTCTGCCCAGCGGGTCACTGACTCAGCCACCCTGTTGACCGAGGCTTCTGGTGGAGGCCAGGGAGCCGGGTGGGGGGCTTCCTTGGGCTCCTGGTCGCACGGAAGGTAAGTGCGCATCGGGGGAGCAGGGCCTGGGCTGTGCATTGGGGGGGGGGGCATTCTCCTCCAACACGCCATGCTGGGCTGGGGAGTGAGGATACTGCTGACACCCCCACCCCCCACCCCCCGCTGAGAAGCGCCAGTCCAGTTTCCAGAATTCTGAGATAAGGAAACGCAGGAAAGTGCCTGGGAAGCTCCCAGAGTCCAGCATTAGCAAAGCCGAAAGGAAAAAGACCCCCCACCCCAAGCTGGTCTCCTTTGGACCCTTCAGCCGCGCCCCTTGTGCCTGGCTGTCTCGCTTGGGGGGGGGGAGCGGGATGGACTGCTGCTCCTTGTCCGCCGTTCAGTGCAACTTCCAGTCACCCCCCCCCTCCCCAAGTCCTAAGGCCCTGTACGGGATGCAGCCCCCAATCCCCCCTGGGCCAGGGATGCCTGGGAAGGGCGGGTGGGAGGGGGGTCACCCTTGGCTTCCTCTCTGCTGAGTGGGGTGGGGGTGGGGATTTCCCCGAGGGGCTCTGGCCTGAGGCCCAACCGAAGGAGAAAGAATGCCATTATAAGGGAGGCATCCTGAACACGCTGGGGTTGGAGGGGACTTTAAAGGCCATCTAGACCACTGCCAGCTCTGTGCAGGATCCACCGGTGCTCTCCATCCCCTGAAGTCCCTCTCCTGAGGCCACCTGTCCCACGGACACCTGGCTGGAACCCCCTGAGCTCCTTCCTGGGGCCTTTGAGCCGCTACTTCTGGCTCTCCAGCCATGGGGATTCCCTGCACGGTGGGATGGATCACATTCCCCCCCCCCCCCCACACACACACCTTGGATGGGCTGAGCACTCCTAGAGCCACGCAGGGCTTGGCCTGTGGTTCTCTCCTCGTCTTGGTAGACTTTCTCCAAGCTGGCACCAGTTGGCTGGTGCCCTTTGCCCAGACTGTGGGGCCCTGAGCTGCACCTGTATTCCAAGCAGCACCTGGCCAGGGCAGAGGGGCCCAAGGGCTCCTCCAGACAGGCTGCTTTGCAAACCCTCCCAGGGTTTGTCCAGCAGCTCTTTCAGTTTGGGAGGCCTGGCGGGGTGGGGGTGGGTGGGGGTGGAGTGAGGACAACTTGCCGAGCTGGCAGTAGCTGATTGGCCGCAGCCAGGGGTCCTATTTCAGCCTTTGGGACCCTCAGACCAGCCCCATTGCTTGGCCCCTTGCCTCTGGAAGATGGGAGAGAAGGGACCTCCCCCGCCAGGCACCTCCCTGGGCCCAGCCCCATTGCTCTCGCCTGCTGGGCCTCAGGGCAGCTTCCCTCCGGAGGGTTCCAGCTGATTGGCTGGATTCCCACTGCAGGGAACCTTGTCTGGAGGGGGGGGGGGCAAAATGGACAGGCAGCCCCTTGCCTGCCTCACCTTTCAGAAGCAACATATTGGGAGCTCCCCGGTGGGTCACACTGGCTGAGGCTGATGCAGCAGAGGTGGCCCTGCAACATCTCATGCCCTTCTCAGCGCTTTGCCTACAATGAGGAGGAGGAGGAGGAGGAGGTTTTATCCCGGGGAGACCAAGCCGGGAGGTGGGCTGGGCTGAGAGAGGGGGACTGGGCCCAAGTCTCCTGGTTCCTAGGCACGTTCACACCACGCCAAACATGCTCAGGTGGCTGCCTTTAAGGGCCACTTGGGAAGGCAACGGGCTGGGCGTCACCCAGCAGTGGTGGGTGGGAGCAGGGGGCCCTCCTGGCGCCCAGAGCCTTCCAGGCGCAGCTTGCGGTGCTGAGACTCGCAACCCCTGCTCGGCTGGCCAACATTGGCCCAACCTGTGGGGCTGGGCTGAGGCGCAGAGGGGCTGCTTTCCTGGAACAGAGCCAGTCCCTGCAATGCCCACCTGCCCGCTTTTATCCGAGTCGCCCCCTTGGCCACTTCTCTGGAAGCTGCTGTAGATGCGGCATTTCCAGGAGACGTCTTTGGACTTTCGCTTCCGGTGTTTCACTCAGGCTGTGGGTGTCTGGGTGACTTTTGCACCCCTGCAAAGCCCCCGAGAGTCCCGTGGGGGAGCGACAGACGGAGTCCATCTGCTGCCACGAGCCGAGGCGCCCCCAGTCCCGGATCTCTCTCCCCACCGCCCTTCTCTGCCCCAGGTCGCCTTACTCCCCCTCCCCTGGGCAGCTAAGGAGGGGCTTCTCCGCCTGGGCCCTTGGGAGCTGGGAGGCCAAGGCTGGGCGACGGCAGAGTCCCACCCGTCTGACGGCGGCGCTTCTGCTTTTCCTCCGCAGGCAGAAACGATGCCCGGCCGGCCTGGCCTCCTGCTGCTGCTGGCCTTCTCGGTGCTGGCCCCGTCGGGGAGCGCCGCCTCCGCCCGCCTGTCCTCTTGCCGCTGCTTCGGCGGCGCCACCGTCTTCTGCTCGGGCCGAAACGTTTCGGACGTCCCGGAGGAGCTGCCCCCCGAGGCCACCCGGCTGCTCTTCGTGGGCGCCTCGCTGAGCTCCCTTCCCTGCCGCGCCTTCGCCCCGCGCAGCAACGGCAGCAGCGGCGGCCTGCGCCAGCTCGCCTTCCTGGACTGCCCGCTCCGGACGCTCCCGGGCTGCGCCTTGGCGGGGCTGCCGCGGCTGCGGGAGTTGGACGTGGCCCTCGCCCAGCTGGACGGCCTCCCCCGCGGGGCCCTGCTGGGCTTGGGCCGCCTGAGCAAGCTGGCCGTCCGCTACAGCCGGTTGGAAGCGCTGGAAGAGGGGCTCTTCGACGGCACCCCGGCGCTCCAAGCGCTGCAGCTGCAGGGCAACCGGCTGACGACGCTGCCCCCGCGCCTCTTCCAGCCGCTGCCGGGCCTCCGGGCGCTCTCGCTGGCCCAGAACCGGCTGGCCGAACTGCCTGCCGAGACCTTCCAGCCGCTCCTGCGCCTGCGCGAGCTCCGGCTGAGCGACAACCTGCTGACGCGCCTCCCGCCGCGGCTCTTCCGCCCTCTGGCGGCGCTGCGGGAGCTCTTCCTGGACGGGAACCGGCTGGCCGAGCTGCCCCGGGGGCTCTTCGCCGGGCTGGGCCGGCTGCGGCGGCTGCACCTGCAGCACAACGCCCTGGGGCGCCTGGAGCCCCCCGGCCTCTTGGCGGGGCTGCCCAGCCTGGCTTTCCTGCTGCTGCAGGACAACCAGCTGGCCCGGCTGCCCGCGGGGCTCTTCCGGGGGACGCCCCGCCTGGTGGAGCTCTCCCTGGCCCGCAACCGGCTCCGGGAGCTGCCCGCGGGGCTCTTCGGCAACCTCTCGGAGCTGTCTGTCCTCAGCCTCGCCCACAACCGGCTGGGCCGCGTGGCTGCCGGCACCTTCCGGGGCTTGGCCGGGCTGGGCCGGCTGCAGCTATGCCACAACTCCCTGGCCGTCCTCCCCAGGGCGGCCTTCGCCAACCTCAGCAGCCTGGAGGCCTTGGGCCTGGCCCACAACCGGCTGGAGAGCCTGCCCGAGGGGCTCTTCGACGCCAACGAGGCCCTGGTCAGCGTGCTTCTGGAGGGAAACCCCTGGCGCTGCGACTGCCGCCTGGCCCCCCTGGCCGCCTGGCTGAGCTCTCTGGACCACCCGCTCGGCGCCCGGGTCCTCTGCCGGGCCCCCGCCCCCTTGGAGGGCAGGAGTCTCCTGGCTGCCAGGGAGGAGCAGCTCCTCTGCCCCTGCCAACCTGGCAGTGCCCACTGCCGAGGGGATGCTCCGGCCCCCACGGAAGAGACAGGCGCCCTGGACCGGGATGCCTAAGAGGCGGCCGGCACCCTTCAGGGTAGACCTCCCTGCAGTCCCCCCG